ATATAAATTAGTGAAGTCATCCAATTTCCTGACGTCTTATCCAACTCTAAATAAATAGCGCTCAAAGCCAGAAGAGGGCTAGATCCCTATTCGGATCATCCCAATTAGTTTATTTCCAACCCAGTCCTGACACTGCCTAGGATATGTAAGTTACGCGATCAAGAAAAAGCAAGACATACTGCCCTCATATAACAACACTTACTTATCAAGGTTGTAGAAGAGTGGACATTCTACCGCGAAGGTGTTTTTGCTCAGCTTCACGTACTCGCTGGCCTCAGCTTGAAACATCACTGATTGGTAGTCCTCACCTCCGAGGTTGCCCTCAATAGCCGTCGTATTTATCAGCAGTCTTTTAAACTCAACCATAAAGCCGCCGTAACTCTTGACAGAGGCGCAAATTTCCATGGGAGGATGAAAGTACTCGAAAAAGGTCTCCTCCTCCTTCTGTTCCTGCTTCCTCGGCTGGACGGCGATCTTGCCGTTGTGGTCATCAATTGGGCCTTGTAAATCCTGGATCGGCTGATTATTGGGCTTCAACACCTCTACGGTGGGATATGTATTGGGTGCAGCCCAGAAGAATTTATTCACGAAGAGGGTGAATACGAAGAGCATGCATAGGAAGCATAGCAACGTTACCAGACGCGAGAAGTGCGTTCTATACATGCGACGCGGAAGAAAGTTGGAGGGCATATTTCCTAACGTGCCGAGGATGCGCATGGCTGTATAAAAGGAAACAAAACGCCTCATCAATGATTGACAGACAAACAGAGAGAGAGAAATGCTTTATTTTGAAGTTAGTATCCAAATGTTCAGAAAAAAATGGCTCCATTCACGGAGAGCAAGGGATAAGGTAAGGTCGTAGAATACTCAAAGTTATAGGTTTACACGATATCAACATCTGTTATGGAGACAGATCGACTTTCAAATTCTTAATTTCCCTTTCTTCACATGTGAGGTGGCATGCTAGGAATGGAAGTATAGAATGTTGATATGCCGATGTACGGCACGATAAATGATGGAAGCTTCGGCGCATAGTACGGGAAGACTTCGCAGCCATTACTTGAGAGTGGAGAGGGAAAAGCTTAAAAATAACTGGAGAGCAGTAAAGAATGAAGGGGAGAATGCATGCATCTATTAATCGCCAGGTTAGGGCTTGCGGTGTGCGATATGACCGCAAACTGTTGATATAATATCAAAGTTTACGGATTTTAATAAAAAGGCCTTCACTATGAAGAGAAAATGATAGGTTAGGTGACACCAAGGTGCCGGAACAGTAGTTTTTGTGGTGTACCTCATTAATCCCTAGTCCCAGAAGTTTGTCCTACGAAAACGGTGGTTATTGGGTTTTATGGGTGGGCAATTAGGACAGGCAGTGAAATATTCTTTTATAGCTGCTATATGCATTTTTATTTTATTGTATTTATAAATGTTCTTGATTAATATCTGTAGATTTTTCCAACCTGTATTATCGTTTAACGTATTACGGAAAACCCCGATTATCCAATTTGAGGTTTCTTGAAATTCCTGAAAAGTAGAAATGCTGGTTAGGAAGTCGTCTACTTCAACTTACCTGAGGTTCAACTTACCATTCTGGGGTTGGATTAGTATAGTCCGCGGCGCGAAGCTCCGCGCACACCTTCAATTTACATGCGGAACAACTTACACCCAGCGGCCGCGGAAATAAATTCGACTTACTTTTTTAACTTCACACTTTCATATTCCTTCCCCACCTATCCTATTTCCCCACCACCAAAAACCCTATAACCACCATTTCCGTAGGACAAAACACTGGGAATAGGGGTATACGAAGTGCACTACATAAACTACTTTTGCCGTTTTTTCCACTGCCGTCTGTTTACTTGTCCACGTACAAGAGCAAAAAACTATCCATCTATATACCGACAGGTCATAATTACGTCCGTGGTTTTGATGTCCAGTTTACTTTTTTTAACTGATCAAGCAGGGACAAAAATCGTCCGCAGATTGCGTTTAAAACCTGCAAAAGTTGCACAGAGCTGAATGGAAAAAAAACACGCGTAGTGTAAGTTACAAAGGACGTTAAAAGTGATGTAATAGACATTTCACCTAAAATCGTACTTGTCTCAGAAAGTGAGTGCAGTGTTGCACTGCTTCATTATTTAAAATCAGACCGATGGATTTTGATTTAATAGTGGTCTTAAAATGAACCCCAGAGACGGTAAAAGAAGACCGGCCACGCCGGTAACGGGTTGCATAAAGGACTACACTATTGAGATATCGGAAGAAGGACTTAAAACTGTGGCTGCTGACCCAATGTTGGAGTTCTGTGCCCATACGGCCGAATTTCACGCCGGCAGGGGAACCACTTCGGAATCGTGTTTCAGTTAAGTGACACAATTTCAATCATCATCATAACGGAATGGTAAATTGAATATCCTCCGGCAGAACTGTGGGACAGGTTTCTACGTGGTACAAATACAGTACGCACCCGAATCCGTGCAACATGCCGACATATGGGAAAGATTGATACTCTTTCGTTAATCAGCATTGACTCAGGTTGTGATACTGATTAGCGTGTAGTCTATTCTGAAATTATTTCAGTCAGGATAGAATGCGAGCCTTTAAATGAGCTTCTTTCTGACCACTAACAAAACGTTTGTACTGTAAAAAGAAAATACTTAAGAAGCATGCGTATATATCATTAATTTTGACTGCCTTAATAAATTCAAATATATTTTATGAAAAACACGCACGAAAAAATTATTTCTTGTACTCGTTTGGTAAAAAATTACGCCTTCTTTAAATTTTATACTTAAAGAAAGGGAATCTTTCGGTCTTAAAAAATTCCTAAATTGCCGAATAATTTTGAAACCTACTTACTGCTACACTCGAATCCAAGGTTTACAAACTGCGCACTGTGTACATCCTGTTTAAGGCAAAGTACGTTTTTGCCTATGGTTTGAGGAAGAAGCCCCATAGTTCTCATAAAACGTTGCATTTGGTGTGGAAAATGCTTTATACAGTATAGGCAGCATTAATAAATTGACGGAAACGATGTATTATGAATGAACACCTCAAAATCGTAAAAAAGCTCATAATCAGAAATGTTTTAAACACGAAAGTTATCCTTTATTTATGTATAAAATTTAAAAAAGGCGTAATTTGCTACCAAACGAGTGCAAGAAATAAGGTGTTCGTGAATATTTTCCATAAAATATATTTGAATTTATAAAGGTAGTAAAAATCAATAATAAGTACGCATACTATTTAAGTAGTTCCTTTTTCCGGTACATACGTTTTGTTAGTGGTCAGAACGAAGCTCTTAAAACAGCCAGCATCCTATCATGACTGAGTATCAAAGAGGATCAATCTTTCGCACAAGTCGACATATTGCAGGAATTCTGGCGCGTACTGTACACGTGGGCATGGCTGCGTGGTGTGTTGAGTGGCTGAAACCTGGACGCGAGGTCAGGCGGCAACGTTCCCTTCTCACATCCGGATTTGATGATGATCCTGGTGTGAATGTAAAGAGAGCAAGTTCATGCGTGCTGTGGCATACACAGACGGGTTAGTCGACCCTCCTGACAGCCCTTGTTCGCAGCCCGCATAAGACGAGCGGTGGGCTTGAGGTAGGCAGAGGTTAAGGTCGACGGCTACGCGCACTTTTCTGCGCTATAAACAATTTGACGCACGTTAAGGTAGGCTAAAAGGCATGCCTTGGCATGTTGCCAGCTGATGGGACGCCTTGGACCGCGTGATTAGCCCAGTATGTGTTTGTGCAGGATGGCTGAGTGCTCAAATGAGAGTCACAATGCAATGGCTCCTTCTCGGTTACAGGACTCATTCGTCCCGTGGTGCCCTCGGACTCACTCTCGAGGCACGCTAGCCATCGCAGAGCGGCATTACCAACAAAAACAACGGAGACTGGAATGGTCATTTCTGGCTCATTAGCCAGTCATACCCAACCGCAAGTGGCGGGGCCTCACCCGAGGCTCGAACCCGTAGTATTGTTGGTAATTTCAATCTGCCTATATCATTAGCTGCTAGCGGGGCACGAAGGCGCAACGGGACGAGTGAATCCTGCAATCGGTCTATGAGTACTTATCCGCCACTGTGTACATTACCCATCAAAACCGGCAAGGCAACTAACTCGAGGCGTAGAGCGTTTGACTTCTAGCTAACAAGATCGCGGCCTCACAGATCGAGTGGGGCACCACTTTGGGCTGGGTATGCTTGGCTGACGACAGCTAACGAGCCATTCCAGTCTCTCTTGCCTCTCTGTCCTTAATGTCATAGCGCCTTTTTCATACGGCCTCTATGGTACTCCCACTCAGCTGGGATCCGAATCACACCCAAACGTTGTAGATGTTTTCCTGTTTGGGATGTCTTACAGTACGTGGGTCTGCGCCTTCCCCCATCTCCCGTCTTCTTGACCCTGGCTTGACGCTAGACCAATGTGCAGCAGTGCAACAGAGAGCGAGTTAAATGCCGCGCAAGTCTACTCACACTATAACCCTAGAGCACGTCAGTGTCCCTGCGGTACCCTCTTGTGGAGCACACTGTTAACCTCGCCGAACCCGACGGTCGAACTGTCTGGCTTAGTCTGGGAGTCAACAAGACAACTGTTCCCAAGACTTTCCTCGTGAAGTGAGATATTATTTTTTCTCGTCTTCTGTCTGAT